GTTACTGAGCTGCTGAATGATCCAAACCTCAAAACTTCCCTACCTTGAGACTTTTTGTTCTGTGAAATGATAAAGTTTCTTTATTATTAAACCACTTGTAGGTGGATTTTCCATTCTTGCAGCCCCATAACTCCTGAAGCAAAGTCTCCATTCCAATGTCACCTCTGAGAAGCCTCCCCTGACTGCTCAAGCTAGAGTAGCTCCCAGTTCCTTTCTGTCACATCTCCCTGTTTTGCTTTTTTCATATCACTTGTCACCCTCAGAAATGCTTATTTCTTTGTTTACTTATTATCTAACTCTCTCCGATAGAATGTAAACTCCAGGAGAGCTGGGTGCTTGTCAGCCTTGTTCACTGCTGACTCCTCAACAAGTGCTCAATAAATGTTGAGTGAATAAGTGATTTCTCAGGAGGAGCAGGGAACAAGGCCAGAGAGGCCAGGAGAGATGGGGATTATGAAGGGTCCTGGGGTTTGGACTATACCATGTGGAAAATGGAGAGTCCCTTAGATTGGGGAGTCTCCTTAAGGGCAAGGACTGTGTCTTCCTCCTCAGACCAGGGTCCTCTTCCCTCTGGATCTCCCCACAAAGCCCAGGATAAGGCTGAGGCCACAAGGGATGCTTGGGTACAGAAGAGACAAGCTCAGACTCCTTCCTGGGCATCCAGGACTAGGCTGTGCTCCACAGGCCTCTAGAGTGCTCCTGGCCTTCGCCCGGCACTCACCCACCAAGCTGTAGAGTGTCTTCATCTTCTGATCTTCATAGATGTTCATGGGGTTCACCAGGATCTGAAAGAGCCCTAGGGCACAGGGTCAAACCAAAGGCCAAAAGGTGGGTCCCACACCTGGCCCAGCCTCTGCCCACCCTTGACCCTCTGCTTCCACACTCACCTATGGCAAGGAGCCCTCCAGTGCCTGCCCCCAGCAGGAAAGCGGTGACAGGAAACTCGCCTGGCTGGCGCCACAGGAATCGGCTATAGGAGACTGGCAGCCCCCAGCTCAAGAGCCTCTGCACCGCTGAGGGGTCAAAGGGTTTAGCCCAGCGGGGCCAACAGCCCACTCTTCTGGCTGAGACGGGCTCACTAGGATTAGGGGCTTTCTGGGGGTAGAGGCTGGGGGTGGGGTGCTGGGTGAGGGTGGCAGGAACTTGGAGGATTCTGGAGGAGATAAAGTACGCTCAGGTGTGAGGGAGAAGAGAGGAAAGGGTTGGGCTCAGGGGCGCTGGGTGAGAGGGTTGGGGGATGAGGCGCCCCCAAGGCAGGGGGCAGCGTGGAGGATCCCTGGAGGACAGATTGCATGAGGAGTGGGGACTGGCGTCGCTGGGGAGGGGCTGGCGGCTCTCGTGACTGACTCACTGGTGTGGGGTAGTTTCCTTCTTGGCCCCTTTGCTCCATTCTGATCAAGACTGATAGTCATGCTTCTGCTCTGGGGGACCCCTCTCACCCCAGAAGTCTCCTGAGGGATCTTCTTGCATGTGAGGTTCTGCTGAGAGAAAGGAGGGGCTGTCCTGTCCTCTGCCTCACCCACAGTCTGTGTCTGAGATCTGTCTTTTGATTCCTCTGCTCCAAAGGCTTATGGAAGGAAGATTAGAGACCTCTCTCTCCCCTCCCCGGTCCTTGAAACTGGGGACGGAGGATTCCAAGAGACACACAGTAAAAGCCCTCTGGAACCTTAGAATACGGTGAGAAATTCCAGGACCCTTTAAGAGCCACAGAACCTGGTGGGCATCTCCTGGAGACAGGCAAACATTTGGTCTTAGCAGCCATGCACAAAGTCATGAAGAATGCTGTGGCCACCTGGGGGGGACAGGAGCCTAGCTTGGCACGGGCCGTGGTCCGCAGTGTGGCGGGCTTTGCCCTGGGCTTGTCCTTGGCCACAGCCTATGGGCTGCTGGAGCTGCTGGTGGAAGGCCGTAGCCCCTGGGGCTGCCTGGTGGGCACCCTCACTTTGGCTGCCTTCCTTAGCCTGGGCATGGGGTTCTCTCGCCAGGTCCGAGTAACTGTCCTCCTGTTGTTGCCCCAAGCCTTTTCCAGTGAGCCTGGCACCTGGGGAGGGGGACAGGTCCTCGCGCTGGGACTGGGGCTGGGGCAGGAGAGGAGTCCTGGCGGAGAGGGTAGGGTGAGGGAGATATTCTGACCGCGTGTATAAGGGATATGTATATGTTGCCATGTGCTGGGTTCTGGCTCTGATGGCAATGTTCCCCTCAGGGCAGGGCCGGGCATTGCTGTTGCTGGCTGCCTTTGGGTTGGTCCTGCAAGGGCCTTGTGCCAATACCCTACGTAACTTCACCCGCGCCAGCGAGGCTGTGGCCTGTGGGGCCGAACTGGCCCTGAACCAGTCTGCTGAAGTACTGGAGCGGGCCAAGCAGCCCCTTGTCAGTAAGACCCACACCCTCCACTGCCCCATGTCCTCGTCCTGCGTGTTCTACAGACCTGGCTTCATTCCTCTCTGCTGGTACTGAGTCCTAAACTCAAAACACCCAGGGCCTGAAAAGGGCCCTGTGGTCCCAGTGGCCCCCTTCAACCTCGCTCTCCGGCCTCCTCCACTGCCAGATTAACATTCTTTCGGATCCCAGCACCCAGACTCCCTACCTCTGGGATGGCTGCCCTCTCTCCACTCCCCGGCCCAGGGTAATGGTGAGAACCCAGGGCCTAGAGGAGGCCCCACAGCGCCCTTGCCCCTTGCCCTTCAGGTGCCCTGAACAAGATCAAAGCCATCGCCCAGAAGGCCAAGGTGGTGGCTGACCGCGTCCGCAAGTTCTTCCGGTCAATCATGGACGGCATGAAGCATATAGGTCAGCACATTCGCATGGGAAGGGGGCGTGTGTGAAATGCACCCAGTCTCCTCACCCCCACCTCTGTTCAGGCCTCTACTATCCCTCCTGGGTGTTGACGAGTACCCCTGGATACAGCACAGCCGGGCCCCTGACCACAGGTCTCCCCTCTTTGGCTGTGGCCCTGGTGTTCCCAATCCCTTGAGAAGCTGCTTCGCCCTCTGGCCCTTGGTGCCAGCTGCACACTCGTCCCCAGCCAGGGCCCTGCGCAGTGTGTGGTACTGGCTACTGCACATCGGGGACGTGTGCAACTCGGAGCTGGGCAACCCTTACTCGAAATGCGCCCGGATCTTCGACGACGCCAAGGACAACTGCATGAAGGTCATCCCGCAGGCCTACCACCTGTGCTACGTGCTCACGCCCTTCAAACTGGTGCTCTGTGGACTTGCCGGCGGTGAGAATATCAGACGCCCACCCACAGGGAGGAGCTGGCTCAGGGCGGGACGGGGCGGGGCCTGCGTGGGCGGGGCCTGCGTGGGCGGGGTTTGAATGGGCGGGGCCCAGGGGCCAATTGGGAGCAGGACCAATAGGGAGGCGTAGTCTCTGAGTGGCGGGAAGCGTTCAACAGTAGACTACTACCCTCAATGTTCGCGGTTCGATCCCACCCCTAGAGGGGCCTCAGAAGACAGGCCTGACGATTAGCTTCTGAAAGGTCACAGCCTTGAAAACCCCATGGAGTAGTTCTACTCTGTACACATGAGGTCGCCATGAGTCGGAATTCACTCACACGTCAGCTAACAAAAACACCTAGGGAGGGACCAAGGCGGGGGCGGGGCAAAAGGGAAGGGCCAGTGGGAGAGCCAAGCTAAAAAGGCGCCCGTTCTAAAAGAAGGTCCCTGGAGGTGCCAGGGCTGACTGACCCCCCTCCTCCTGACACCTCGCGGTCTCCGACTCTCAGTGGCCCAGGTGTTCTGCATCATCCCCAAGTACATCCAACCCTTTTTGCGCAAGACCATCGGCACGCGTGAGTGACCCCTCCTAGCCCCCTCTGCAAGCGGCGCTCCCTCCCTCATCCTGGTCTGGCCGTGGCCTGGCCGGGAGCGCTCCCGGTCCGTGGAAGAGAACGCAAGAACTGGGAAGAACCTCAAGAGGTCACTCAGGCAGGCTACCATCCGTGGGGTGCAGCCTGGGAAAGCGAAGACCCGCGAGGAGGGGGGGCCTCACCGAAGCTTGACTTTAGGGCAGGAGCTGGGACTAGAAGCAGGGCCCCCTGCCCCCTAGGGCAGGTCATTGAGATCATTCATTGATTCACTTACCAACTATTTCCGGAGCATCTAGTGTGCGCCAGGTGTGGTGCTGGGGGCTGGGGACTGGGGACACAGTGGCAATGGCACAGATATGTAGTGGCTCAATCCAGAGGGTCCAAACGCTGGGGTTTCCTGGGTGCTCTGTGAGCTGTGTGACACCTTGGCTGTGCCAGGCTCTCTTCTGGCACAGCCCTGCCCCCTTCTAACTCTCCTTACATCCCCCTGACTGGCTGACCCCAGCGGTGATGAAGCTGATTAACCGGGTGCGTCAGGAATTTGAGTTCAACCTGACAGCCACCCACCACTTCTCTGTGAATTTCAATGCCTCTCGGAGCCTGTCCCAGGTAGCGCTGGACCTCCAGGAGGCTGTCAGCCTGAAGCTGTACCGTGTCCGAGAGGCCCTGGCTCTGATGGGTTACACCACGTCTCTGCTGCTCACGTTTCTCTACCTCCAGTGAGGGGCTACGGGTCTGGGCGTGGAGATCTAGGGCTGCCGGGGGCCAGCTCATCCCCATGGCTTCCTGGGAGGCTGAAATTGCAGGAGGGTGGGAGGGAGGGAGGGAGTGCCCTGTGGGGTCTGGCCAGGGATGCTGAGAAGGGGCCTCATGTGCATTCCACCCCACCAGAGCCCTGTTTTACCGGTACTGTTACCTGAACTGGGTTGATTTCGACAATGTCTACATTACCAGCCGGTTCCTGCGCATGGAGGCGGTCCGCTCCGAGGCAGGACTGCCCACGGTGCTGCCACTCAGTGCCCACGAGGCCAGACGCTACATCCAGCCGGGTGAGGGCCCCAAGACAGGAGGAGGGGCTCTGGGGAGTGCCAGGCCTCCCCCAGCCCCGCTGCCCTGACCCGAAATCCTGGGCACCTGCAGAACCACAGGGAAGAAAGACAATTAGGTGCCAAGGCAGTGTCAGGCTGAGGGGGAGACAGCCCTGTCCTTGGAGAGCCCTCATTTTGAAAAGAGAAAGCAGACAGAGAAGGGGCAGGTGATACTTCTCAGAGTAGCCTAGAAGTCAGGCCAGAGGGAAGGCTAGGCGGGGAGTGGATATGGAGCAAGAGAGGAGAAGCTGGGAAGGCTCTGGGTGGAGGAACGGTGGTAGGAAGTGTGGATGTGCTAATTGGGAGGAGGAGATGCAGCCTGGCTGGGAGGACGCTAGTGTGAGTGGGGAGCAGGTAAAGGGATTAGGGTGTCCCGGGGGCAGGCTTCCTGAGATTGGGAGTGGGCCCCTGCTAGGCCTGCACCTCCAGTCATGGGGTCCCTGGCCCCTGAAGAGGGCTTCCCACCCGTGCCCATGGGTTCTCACAACTCCTTTGACTTTCCATTTTCCAGAAGCGCAGAGACCCAGATTCAGTCAGGGTCAGGAGCTCTGTCCATGAGCAGAGGTCTGGTGGGCGGGAAAATCAGGAACCATCCTCCTGACCACCCTACTTCTACCCAGGCTCCCTCTTCCTGTCCCAGTGGGAGCGGATTTTTTACATCCTGGCGGTCTTCAGCCTTCTGCGGCACCTTCTCCTGGTGCTGCTCCTGGTCTTCCTGGACTATGCTGTCTTCTGGGTGCTTGACCTGGCCCGGCACCACCTGCAGGGGGAGATTGTGGCCCGCAGTGAGCACCTACACTCCCCTCCCCCGCCCCGCTGAAGCCCCCTTGGCCTGGTCTTCATCCTCCGCACCCTCTCGCATGTCTTCTCCTTTCCTACCCTCAACCCTGGGGGACTACCTGAATGTCCCCATGTCACTGTTACTCTCCAGCCCCTGGCTCTGCCCCTCTTCTAACTAGTAACTAACAAGTAACACTTGTGTCCAGTTCAAGGTTATAACCAGGGCTTCAAACCAGTTTGTTCAGGTTTGAACCCCTGCTGAGAATTTGCATTTCTAACAAGTTCTCAGGGGATGTTAATGCTGCTGGTTAGGGACCAGTTCTGAGAACCACCAGCAGAGCAGTGGTCTCGAAATTTATTACACATAAGAATCACCTGGGGAATCTTGTTAAACTGTAGATTCTGATTCAGTATATCTGGGGTGGAAATGTTTTGAATGAACCAGTTTGAAGCCTTGGTTATAACCAAAAAAAGAAAACCAAACTCATTGCCATCGAGTCGATTCCAACTCATAGCGACCCTACAGGACAGAGAAGAACCGCTCTATAGGGTTTTCAAGGAGCACCTGGTGGATTCGAACTACTGACTCTTTGGTTAGCAGTCGTAGCTCTTAACTACTATGCCACAAACACAAGTTGCAGAGTCAGACTGGCCTGAGTTCAAAAGCCAGCTCTGCTCTTCAGCAGGCGACGGCCTCTCAGCAAGCTGCTTCATTTCTCAGAGCCCCCATTTCCTCATCTGAAAAATGAGCTAATGATGGTAGCAACCATGGGTGGCTGTAAGGAACATGTGAGATCATGTGCGTTGAGCGCCTGGTAGACCATTGATTGAGAGTGTGCCATGAACCAAAGAATATAATTAATCTAAGTCTCTGTACCAGAGGTCCAACAGAAAAAGTAAAAAATAAAACAAAACAATAAAACACCTAGTCCAGTGCCTGCTACACAATCAGTGCTCAGCAAATGCTTTAAAATAAATGCCTCTGGAAGGTCATGGAGGCAGGGGTATGGACTCACTGACCATTAAGGTCATCTCAGATCTGGTGGCCTGGACAGATAGGCAGCAGTGCCATCCAGCTGGACCATGGGGCCAGTCCTAGGTGCCAGGGGTTGAGGGTAGGCCCTGTGTACCACAAAGGTGCCTGGGGCATCAAAGGTCCCTGGCTGGGAGCACGGGCCATCCCTCTGACCTGCACCGCTCCACTTTCCTGCAGGCTGGAGTGGGCGGCTGCCGTGAGCATCCCTCACTTGGTGTCTTTGTGCCAGGCCCTGTGTTGGTATCCATCACCGTGGAAGGGGAAGGCTATACTGGCAAGATTTACCGTGACCTGGTGTCTGCATTCGATGTCCTGCAACAAGGCAACATCAGTATCTTGTCCCGGCGCTGCCTCCTGCATCCCTCAGAGCCTGAAGCCACTGGTTACATAGTCATTGGTATGAACCTCACCCCTGAGCGCACTGGGGGAATGGGCACCATTAAGGCAGGAGGGGCACAGGCTCCTGGGAGGTGGGCCTGGGGGGGTGGCTGGCACCTTGTGCCCATCGACAAAGCTTCTGTGCCCGCTGTGCTCCAGGCAGCATGTATGGCCTATGCTTCTTCGTCACTCTGTTTGGTGCCTATATCAGTCGGCTGCGGCGGATCATCTGTGCCTCCTACTACCCATCCCGGGAGCAGGTGAGGGGTCCATGGCGGGCAGCCAGTCCCTGGCCCCCTCCCAAGGGTGCCAAACTAGTGGCATTCTGCCTTGGCTTTGGGGAACTTCAAGTCCTTCAGCTGCCCCAGCCCTCTCCCCTCTGGTTGAACAGGCAGGTGTCTGGACCCCAGAGGAGGCTGGGAGAAATGGTGCCTCTTGGGACAGGGATACCTGAGACAGAAAATCAAACCAAACCGATTCTGACTCATAGCGACCCCATAGGACAGAGTAGAACTGCCCCCTAGGGTTTCCTGAGACAGAGCTTGTCTCCAAAATTTTGGTAAAACCATGGGGAGGTGGGCGGTGTTGGCCTGTTGAGTGTGAATGGACACTGCCGTCTGCTCATTCATTCACTAACTGTTTACCGAGCATCCTGTCTGCCAGTCATTGTGCTGGGCTCCAAGGATGCCAAGATGAACCAGACGCAGCCTGGAGCTCACACCCCCGGGGCAGCCAGACAGGCTTCTAATAAGACGTTACAATTAAAAAGTTATTTTTATTAAAGAAAGAATAAAGGGCCTTGGAAACCCAGAGAAGGGGTGGGTAACTCTGCCTGGGGGAGTCCAGAAGGCTTCCCAGAGGAAGAGGCATTTGAGCCAAGCTTAGAGGGATTCATAGGAGCTGGACAGAGGAAAAGGTAGGGAGTGGGCGGGGGAGGTGCCGAGGGCATTCCAAACAGATTGAGCTAGAAAAGGGGGATCAAGGGAACCCATTCCTGATCTCCCCTCTACCAGGAGAGGATCTCCTACTTGTACAACATACTTCTGAGCCGCCGAACCCATCTGTTGTCTGCCCTGCATCGAGCAGTGAGGCGGCGCACAGCTGACCAGGACCCAAAGAGTGTCCTCGATGTGCTGGGCAGCTGGTGAGAGCCCCATCCTTCCCAAGAGTTCCTTAGGGGGGTGGGGTAAGAGGGGACAGAAAAAGAGCTAGAGGTCAGAATGGATCACTGTCCTCCCTAAGTGTCAAAAGATTGGTTTGGTTGAAGGTGTTCATTCCATGCCATTCATGCCCTGAGGGGCAGAATTCGGGATGGGAATTATTAGGGGTGGGGCGTAAATGGAGGAGGACAGGGAGACAGAGAGGTTGTTGCTAAAGTTCGAGCCATGGGGGTTAGACCCCAGGAAGGCCCGCCCATGGTTTAGAGGTTGGTGCTGGAGAGTGGGGAGGGGCTTCCAGCTGCCTAGGCCGACTGGACTGGCCGGTCTAGTGTTTTGGGGGCCTCTCTCCTTAGGTGTCCCTTCCTGGCTCCGTTCCTCAGCCCCTTTCAGTCACACCAGGTCTACTGTTTGGGCTGTGGGCAGCCCCAGGATGATGGGGACATGGAGAACTTTGTGTCCTGCAGTACCCCGGGCTGCCGAGGTGAGACACCTGGGACGCACGACATTTGCATATGACCATCAACTTCTGTCCTCCCTTTAAGGACTTCTCCTATCTCACCTTTTACATCCTCCCTTGGTTACAATGCATGTTCTCATTTACATAGAGCCCCCAGGTAGCTCATTTCCTCCATCCGAAACAAAACCCACTGCCTTGGAGTCAGTTCTGACTCATAGCAACCCCATAGGGTTTCCAAGGCTATAAATCTCTATGGAAGCCGATTGCCAAATCTTTCTCCCGCGGAGCTGCTGGTGGTTTCGAACCGCTGACCTTTCGGTTAGAAGTCCATCCCTTATATTTGTCTTAATTCTTCGCTGCAAACAGGATTAATATGCAAGTGGCAATGCAGCAGTTCCCTAGCGTGCACCCCTTGACAGGGACGGTCTCCTGGAGGTAGGGGAGGGGAGGCGGGGCTGGAAGCCTGGGAGACAGTAGGTGGGTGGGTAAGCTCACATTCATCTCCTTCCCTCCTGGACTCCTCCAGGTCTCTTCTGCACCACCTGCTTCCGCCTCCTGGACAACACCTGCTGTGTGTGTGCATCTCCCCTCTCCTACCAGGGGGACCTGGACCTGGAGCTGTGAGTCTTCCAGTGACATGGGGTGGCTGGAGCGGGGTGGGGCGGGGGGCAGTGGGAATGGCCACCCCTCCCCAGGAGCTCTCTGGGTCACTGAGATGGAGACTTCTGCAGGGACTCCAGCGATGAGGAGGGTCCCCGGCTGTGGCTGGCTGCAGCTCAAAAAAAGGACCCTGAGAAAGAGTGGTTACTGCGGCAAGAGCTCCCAAAAGCACTAGACAAGACCATCTCCTCAGAGTCCAGCTTGGAGTCCAGGTGAGTGCGGAGCGGGGAAGCTGGGAGGGGAGGGATTGAACAGAGCATCAATAAGGGAATGAAGCAAGCTCTGACAGCAGCAGAGAGGACAGAACAACCAATTTGGGATAGGGGTATATTCCTGAAGGCTTCACAGAAGAGGTTCTAGGGTCAACCTGGTGGTTTGTTAGGCCAAGGAGTGGAGAAAAGCATTCCAGGAGGAGAGTCACGTGAGTTTGAAGAATGTGAGACATTTGGGAAAGCAGAGCCTAAGGGGGGAGAGAGAGAAAGAGAGTGTGTGTGTGTGTCTGGGTGGAGACCTCAGAGAATGTTGGGAGATAAGGTTGGAAGTCAAGGTGGAGACAGATGAGGAAGGAAGGGCCTTACTTGCCATCTAAAGAACTTAGGTTGAAAAGTGATGTGTTGATATTGGTCTTTTAGGATGATAAACTAAGAAGGCAGAGTGGAGGCTAGACGGGAGGCAGGGAGACCAGAGAGGAGTTTGCTGTAGTCCAGGAGAAGTTGGTGGTGACCTCAGGATGGAGGTGCTGAGAATGACTGAATGCATTTCTACACTTGGGACTGGGCGGGTTGGGCAGGAGGAGGAACAGGTCTGGGGAAGAAGAACTGGTTCAGTCTGAGATCTTTGAGAGGTCTGTAGGGCATCCAGCTAGAGATGCCCAGGGAGCAGTTGGAATGGGGGAGGGCTCTGGACTAGAGAGATATTTTGGGTTGCGGGGGGGGTGTTGACTTAGAGATTGTAGGAGAGAGGATAAGACAGACCATCCTGGTGGTGGCAGAAGAGGAGAAGGAGGCATGGTCAGAACCCTAAGGAGCTCACTCCCAGACTAAGGAGGAGAGAGGGTTAAGAAAGCAGGAGAGCCAACCTATCACATGCTGTGAGATGATCAAGGATGAGGATTGAGGACAGGCCATTGAATTTGGCAGTCAGGAGATCACTGGAGTGGTTTATGGGAACAATTTTCATGGCATCAAGAAGGCCAAAACCAGATCATAATGGGTTGCGGGGTGGCGGATGGAGAGGACTCGGAAACAGGGCAAGGGACTCCTGTATCACGTTGCAAGAAGTCTGATCATTCTTTTAGCACAGCCACTGCTGTAATTTAAAAAAGGAAGTTTGACGGTGAAGAGAAGGGAGTTAGCTTTGCACAGCAAAAGTAGCTTGAAGGGGACCCAGCACCAAAAGATTTTTCTTTATCCAAGGATAGGTGATGAGATCTGAAGGAGACACGGGTGGTGCAAATGGTTAACTGCCGAAAGATTGGCAGTTCGAACCCACCCGGAGGCACTTCAGAAGGCCTGGCAATCTGCTTCCAAAAGGGCACAGCCTTGAAAAGCCTATGGAGCGGTTCTGCTCCATAGGGTTGCCATGAATTGACTCAGTGGCAACTGACAACGACAATAACAACAGGGAAATCTGAGCATTTAGGAGGTAAAAGAGAGATGCAGGAGAGATGGGATCTAGGGCTAGGTGGGCAGGGTGGCCTGGAAACGAGTAAGCCCACCCAAGGCAGGAGGGGAGAGTGTATGTTCCTCCGAGCAGACTTGAGTCTGTCCCAGCCTAGTGGCTTCTCTTTTCTCTGGGGATTAGGAGGCAAAGATTCGTGCTGAGTGAGGGGGTGGCTGGGAGTGGAATAAAGGTTGAAGCAGTGGGTGGTGGAGGTTGAAGTACTTGCGGTGAGGAGTGTGCAAAGAAGCTGACTGGGGAGCTTAAGGGATTTCCAGGCAGCGTTCAAGGCCCAGATGATGTTGAAAATCATTAGCGCTGGCTCCAATGGGCTTAGCTATGTGGTTTTCTCAGGCAAATGTGGTAGCTGTGAACAGGATTCGAGGGTTGAGGGCTTTTTCTGGGCAGGTCAGGGGAAGGGCAAGATGGGGAGACAACTAGGGTGTCTTCAGTAAGAATGTCTGAGATGACTGGATTTGGGGAAGAGAAGGGGCTGAGACCTCAGGGGTGAAGGGGGTCGCAGTCCAGGGTCTGTGTCTTGATGGGGTGTCAGAGCACAGCACGGGCAGTAGCCAGGAAGGGGAGCTGGCAGGACAGGAGGGGCAGAGAGCGCGAGCCAAGGCTGGGGAAGAGTCCTGGATGAATCCAGGGAGTGGCCAAGGCTGAGGGGGATGCCTGAGTGTGAGCAGAAGTGAAGGTCACTGGGGCCAAGGAGGTCAAGGAATTGAAAGGCCGGAGAGTTGGATGGGTACTCTAGTGAGGAGGTTGCTGGACCACTCAAGTAGCCGAAGTCACGTACCATATCCTGACAGACATGGCAGGGTGTTTGGTGGCCTGGGGAGCCAGCACCAGTAGTATAGCAGCCATGACAGCTGAGGGCTTTTGAAAACACCACGGGCCAGCTGAGTTTGAGAAGAACAAGCTGCCTCCACTTGGGAGGGCTGCAGAGACAACCATCCAGTGGGCACTTTCCAGTAAGAATGGGGCAGTGGAGGTAGTGAAGAGTCGGGAGGTTGAAGGAGAAGCAAAGCTTTATTTTTCACCGTTCCAGAGGGCCCACTGATATTAAAAGCTGGGTTGGCAGAGGGGGCAGCTTGAGTCTTGAGCAGGTATGATCACTACTGGTTTTACCCATACTGCTCACCATACTGCCTCAGCCTCAAGGGGACAGCTACAGCCCGGGGCTGGTATGCCTTGTGGGCCTGTCGGAGCAGGAGTGGCTAGTAAATAACAGGGGAATCTGCACAGATGGGGTCGGGGCCAGAGGCTTAGGGAGGGTAACAAGCGCCCAGGGGCAATCTCTAAATTGCACCCCCGCCCCCCAGTTTCAAGATGAATAGACATTGATAGCTGTCAGCAGAAATGCCTTCCCCCCTCTTGTCCGGCTGCCTCAGTCGGCCCTTTCATATTTGTGGCACCTTGGAATGTCATTCTGTGCCTTGTCTGGCGCCCCCTTGGACTTGTGCCCTGGGGCAAGTGCCTCCCTCTGCCCCCCTCCCTAAGCCTCTAGTAAGAGCAGCTGGTAGGGGGCAGGAATGCACCTGTGAAAACAGAGTTTTGGGGATCGGGCTGCCCCCCTTCCTCTCTTCACTAGTGACCTGGACGAAGAGAAGCGGCCTCAGCAGAGGAAGAGGCAGCAGCCCCTACCTGAAGCCCATCAGTCCGTCAGCATTCCCATCACCCCTCAGCAAAGGAAGAAGAGGCAGCAGCCCCCACCTGGAGCCCATCAGTCCGTCAGCATTCCCGTCACCCCTCAGCAGAGACAGCAGCCCCCACCTGGAGCCCATCAATCAGTCAGCATTCCCATGACCCCTCAGCAGAGGAAGAAGAGGCAGCAGCCCCTACCTGGAGCCCATCAGTCCGTCGGCATTCCCGTGACCCCTCAGCAGAGGAAGGAACCCCCATCGGGAACACATCCGTCCGTCAGCATTCCGGTCACCCCTCAGCAGAGGAAGAAGAGGCAGCAGCCCCTACCTGGAGCCCAACAGTCCGTCACCATTCCCGTGACCCCTCAGCCCCACTGACATCAGAAATTCTCAGCCTCCCAAGCTGCCAGCTTCAGAACCCCCAGTCCCTGTCTGTCACCTTCCCCCTCCTCCTCATCCCTCCCAGCCATCCCCCAAATAAAACAACCAAAGGTGGACACAAGTGTGACTCTTAAATAATTATTATTTCTTCCTGTCGCTTACACCCGAGGTGGGGGGGCGGGGGAGGGAACAGAAGAGGGGAGATCACCTCCCCCCCTAAGGCACTGACTGGAAAAGCCGCAGGGCGGGGGAGGGGAGGCCACACTGTCCCCACTCCCTGGGGCTAGGCCCCAGATCTCCCCAGCCCTGGGCTCCCCCATCAACTGAAAGGCTGAGGCCCAGGGCAACCCGAACCCGCCCCCCCAATATATTACATCATCACTTTTTAAATAGATAACAGGGACTGGTCCCGCTACCCCCTCCCTGTAACCCCCCCACACTGTTGGGGGTACCTGGGCAGCTGTGCAAATGGGCATGGGGGTGCATGAAAGGGAGGGCGAGCACCGGGCCCCTGAACCTGCCCCTTTCAAGGAGGGGGAGGGGCCGCCAGGCCAGGGAAGGGAACTAGTGCAAGGCAGAGCCCAGGCCGCAACGGGGGTCCAGCACCCAGCGAGGAAGGGGAGGAGACAGCCCCCGCCCCGAGCAGAACTGGAGAGTTAAAAATCTGAAACTAGATTTCAGCAAGACCAACAGAAGAGGCTATGTACAGAACGGGGGTGGATTCAATTCTAATGGAAGAGAGTGACGAGATGGCTCTCCCCTACCCAGCAGGAAGCCCGGGCTGGAGGGGCTGGGAAAGGGGCTCCTCTCCCGCAGCGCCGCAGCCCTTTTTCCCAGAGGCCCAGCGAGAAGTTCTGAGCCCACTCTTTGACAAGGGGGCGCCCGCTCACCAGCTGGAGTGGTTGAGGTGAGGCCTGCTGCTCGGAGTGGCCGCCGGGGGCGCTCGCCCGCGAAAGGCTGGCCGCCAGATGGCGCCCGCTCGCCCGCTCTCCGCAAGGCTCCCCACCAACCCCTCACCCCGTCCCACACCCAGCGCCCCGCCAGCCCGGGGGCGGCGTGAGTCAGGGGCGGCAGCGGTGGCGGCGGATCCGGCTCGCACCTGGGCGGGGAGGAGGCTAGTGGGAGGAGAAGAGGGTAGGACGCGGCCCGGCCCGCCCTGCCCTCTGGCCCCGAGGTGGGAGCGGCGGGAACAAGACATTCCCTGCCCGGGGACGCGGGAGGGGAGAGGAGAGGAGTGGAGCGGCTCCCCTAGCCGGGCGGGGCCCCTCCCGCTGCCCCCAGGGGCGGGCGAGCCAATCAGGCCACCCCGCCCCCTTCTCCTCCAGGACCCCATGACTCAGCGCTGGGAGCTGGGCGGAGGGGACTGGGATGGCTCCTTCCTTCCAGGCCCAGTCCCCCCCCCCAGGTCTTTCAAGCTTCTACCTTGCTTTCCCCCCATCTACCCTGCCTTCGCTGCCCCCTTTTGCATAATTCACTGCCAGGAAAAGGGAACAGAAACCAGGAAGGAGGGGTCTCGGAAGGGAGGGGCAGGCCTTCACCCCCTTACACAGCCAAAACCCCAAGGGGGTATGGGGTGGGGCAAGGCTTTGGTCCCAAGCCCCCCACCCCCTAGAAACCCGCATAGCCGAAGAGGGACCCCACGAATCAGAAATGCATTATTGCTTCTAGTCCCCAGGAGCAGCTGGGGACAGGAACCCCTCTTTTACAATAGAGCTGTAAATATATACATATCGTAGGTATCATTCCTTGGGGATCACCCCAATCTGGGGAGCCTCTACCCCAAAACCTTCTCAGCCTGGAACTGGAATGAGGGCTCAGCGGGGGAAGGAGCCGATTCTGCCGCCAGCAAGGCTCAGCGACCCTGGCCCCGGCTCTGTCCCGCTTGCTCCCACTGCTTGGCGTGGGTGTCCCCGGCCTTGTGTTGCCCCATCCTGGCCACCTGTCCCTCTTTAAGAGGACTCCATGGCACCCTCAGCCTGGGGCGTGGTGGGTGTCCCCTCCTCATCGTCATCATCAGGGGGCCCTGGGGTGGAGACCGGAGGCCCAGTGGGGGCTGACTGCTCCCAGAGCCGAGCCAGGGAGAGGCGGAAGGTGTCCAGGTGGCCGTTGGAGAGGTCGAGACCAGCAGGGGACGGGGTGGCGGTGGAAGGTGGTGGGTAGTGGGGGGGCGCGTCTTCCTTGCGGCGCCGCCGGGTGCGCACCTCCAGGCAGTTCTGGCCCTTGAGGTGGCGCTGCAGGTGGTCCTCCTTGGCGAAAGCCTTGTGGCACAGGTGGCACTCGTAGGGCCGGTCCCCTGTGTGCAGATGCATGTGGTTCTTGAGGTCGTAGCTGTGCAGGAAGCGGGCTGGGCAGTGCGGGCACGAGTAGGGGCGCTCTCCTGTGTGCTTGCGCATGTGGATCTTCAGCTTGTCGTTCCTGGCCAGGCAGGGGGAGGAGGCAAGGGAGGCGCTCAGAATGGGCCCCCTGGCCTTGTCCCGCTCCCGCCCCTCACCGTTTGTTTCCTATTTGACCCAGGATACCCTCGCTGACTTGCCCCAGCTTAACTGGGCCCGCCATCACCCACTCCTCTGCCTCCAGCCCAGCCTTCCTGGGCACTGAACCCTTCCTGCTCCATCCCACCTCCCTCGGCTTGCTTTCCCCTCCCAAGTCCCCCCCACCCCGTTCTGGTGCCTCTTCTCACTCCAGGAGGGACTCCTCACTCTAGTTCCTCCAGGACCACCTGCTTCCACCCTTCAAGCCTCATAACTCCTCCTCCCTGCCCCCTGGACACGGCCCCTGCTGGGCCCCCTCCCCACTGGGTGCTCACCGGGTGAAGCGGACGCCACAGACCTCGCAGGCAAAGGGCTTCTCGCCCGTATGGGTCCTCATGTGGCGAGGCAGTTTGCCGGCCCCGTGGATGATCTTGTGGCAGACCGGGCACTCCTGGGGCATCTGGGAGCGGCGTTTGCGCACTAGCTTGTCCTGGCCATCCAGGCCTGGTGTCAGGGTGTCCTGGTGCAGGGAGCTTAGGTAGGCCATCAGGTCGGGATCGATGGCGTCCTCATCTGAGCCCAGCTCCTCTGGGGACAGCGGGGGCCCGCTGCCCTGTGCGAGGCCGTAGGCTGGGGGATATACCAGCTCCTCTTCTTCTTCCTCACCCTCATAGCCCTCGTAACTCAGGGGCCCCTCAGGGGGCGAGGCAGTCCCTGCAGGAGGGCTGTAGCTGTCCCCCAGCCCACTGCCACCTACTCTGCCCGCCACCTCCTCCTCCTCGAAGGTCAAGGGATGGGTGGGCATTGCGGGCACCTCCGGCACCAGGTGGTTCGCCCGGGCCCCCTTGGTCTGCAGGAAAGCTTTTCGGGGCTTGCGGCTGCGGCGGGCGACAGGCCGAGGTGGCGGTGGCGGCGGTGGCGGGAGGGGGGCCTGTGGAGGGCTGTCCTCGCCGTTGGGCACTCCAGAGGCCGTGGCTGTGGCAAAGGCCTCCAGGTATTGGCGGGCCCGCTCACAGTCATCCTCATCAGGGCTGGGAGCTTCCAGCCCGCTGCCCTGCAGAATCTCCATGCAGGCCGCGATGACGCAGGGGATCTCCAGCAGCCGGGCGGCCTGGAGCACAGCCGGCATGTTGGCGCTGCTGGTGGTCAGTGTGGCTGTATAGGCAAACTCGAGCAGGGCACCCAGCGCCTCCGGCCCCACAAAGTCCAGTTCGCACACGCCGGCCCCTGCTCCCCCGGCGGCCATCCCCCCGCCCCCGGCTGCCATGCCCGCCCCGCCACCGCCCTCAGTGAAGAGCTTCTTGAAGTAGTGGCTGCAGGCCGCCAGTACAGCCCGGTGGGTGCGGTACTCAAGACCCTGCGTCCGGATGGTGAGGTCACACAGGTGGCCCAATTGGCGCTGCTCGTTTAGGCAGCTCAGGAGCTCACTGCTGTGGTCCGGGAATGGAATCCCAATTAGGTCATCCTCGGGGCTCCCCATCTTCTCCTGCAGGGGCAAGTAAGGAGGGGGGTAAGAACACACAGCCTGGCAAGGGGGGGTCTGGGGAAGGAACAGTGGCCAACGTTTACAGAGAGATGACTATGTTGTTGTTGTTGCAGGCTGTCAAGTCGATCTGACTCCCAGCAACCCTATCGGACAGGGCAGAACTGCCTCATAGGGTTTTCTAGGCGGTAATCTTTACGGGAGCAGATTGCTAGGTCTTTTCTCCCACGGGTGGGTTTGAACCACCTACCTTTTGGTTTGCAGCCAAGCACTTGGGCAATGTGCCACCAGGGCTCCTTTTCAAGTGCTTTACCTTCATTTAATCTCGAGCTAGCATCTGAAGTACTACAGTTATCCATTCTACAGACAAGTAAACTGAGGTTCAGACAGGTGAGGTGGCTTTCCGAAGTAAGTGGCAGAACAGGGATCAAACCCGGGCAGTGCCCAGAGTCACTGTTCCTAACCACTGTACCATTATGCTTCCATGAGCCTGTCTTTCTGGCCCTTTCCTAGAGCTCACCCCCATCCCTTTGGAAGGAACACTGCACTGGGAGTTTGGATGCCTGGGTCTTGGTTCTGACTTAATGAAGAATTGGGTGAAGGACTCTGGGTGGCGCCGGTGGCGGGTCTCAGTCATCTGAAAAGTTGGGTAACAGTCCATGCAGGGGAACCTCCTCACAGCCCAGGAAAAGGCCAGTGAGGGAATCCAGATTCACAGGGGACCAAGGCCTGCTCGAGGCCAGGTGTGGTCAGGCGCTTTAACTCAAGTTATCTCCAAAGCATTTGGTACGCAGTAAGACACCACGCAAACAAGAGGCAGAGGCTTCCAAGCACCCTCCTCCTCCTCATGCCCCTCCCCCAGCCACCAAAGGTTCATCTCCCCTTCTAGATCCCCTTCTAGTAGAGACCATACGGGAAACAGCTCCCATCAGCCCCCCCACATCCTCCCCTCCCCCATGGGGGCCAAGGAGCAGCCACCCTTTGCTGGGGTGCTGGCGCGGGTGCTTCCTGCCCCGCACAGATAAGCATCGCCCCGGCCCCCTCCCCCACTGCCAATAGGCCAAGTTTCACCCCTCCTCCTCCCCCTTGGCTACCACCACCACCCCTCCCTTCCCATTCCAGGTCAACCCTATTCCTGGAGAGCCCCCATCTCCACTGAGCAGGAGCCCATCGTCCCACCCTCTAAGCTATCCCTTCCAAGACCTAGCCAGAGAAGGGACAGGAAGCAGTGATCCCAAGATTGGGGCATAGGGAAGAGGAGGGAATCTGGCCTGGAAGTGGGGAGATCTGCTTCAAGTCCTGGCTCTGCTACTATCTTGCGGAATGACCTTGGGCAAGTCACTTCTTTCTGTATTGCAGTTTCCTCAGCTGTACAAGGAGGCGGTGGGAGTGGAAGGCCCAAGGGCCCAGCCCTCTAGCCCTGACATTTGGGACATCTGGAGCAACTGAAGACCGCCGTGTTGGGGGCTGGACAGAGCTGGGATCTGGAGTCAGCCAGGCTTGAATCTGAAAACTCGCTTTGCCTTTGATTAGCTGTGCAACCTTAAAAGAGTGATTTAATCTTTGAGCTTTCCTCAGCTACAGATGGGAGAATTCCACCTGACTCCTAGGAGGGTTAAATGAGACCATGCATGGCACAATGCCTGACACACAGTAGGTACTTCACAAACGTTATGCCTTTCCTTCTACCCTAAGACCCAAGAGGGAGAAATGAAGGCCTTGCCTGGGGGCCAGATTCACTATTACAGATGGCCTCTACTAAGAAAACTACTTGGGGACAGGTCCGCCTCCCTCCCGTGAATCACCCGACAATGGAGTCGGGTTACTACCAGCTCAGTGACCTTGGACAAGTCACTTCCTTTCCAAGGAGGCCTGTTTCCTCATCTATAATATTAAAGGTGGGCCAATGATAGGAAAAGGGATTTTTTGGGGCTGAGGGGTCAAGGGCCACAAATTTCCTCTTTAGGACACAGAGCTGCATTGTCTGTGTGCCTCCCTGCCTGCCACCTTCCTTGCACTACCAGGGCCTGGCTCCTGCATGGACGCCTGCCTGCGTGAGCAGGACCCACGTGTCTGTCTGTGCTTGTAAGCCACACCTAGGTTCCCTTAGCTAGCCCACTCATTCCCACCGTCCCCAAACCACTTCTCTCCCTGGAAGCCAAGGAGTCTGGGAGCGCTGCCGGCTCCCTTTGGTCCCCCTGCCGGTACTGTACGAACGGTCCAAGTGGTAGATGGCCCCAGGCCTCTGAAAGAACCAGAAACTGGGTGGGCAGCAGTACCAGTGGCCGCTTTAGCACTAGGGAGCACCCTCCTGGGCCCAAGCACATTGTGCCCCTCCTAGGGGGATGGGTGGAGCCAGCCTCCCAGTCCATTGGCAGAGAGCTGGGCACCCGCAGGCACGTGGCTCACCCCATCCCTCTCCCTCCTTTTCTCTCCACCCCACCCATTCCTGCCGCTAAGCCCGCCTCCTTTCTCCCACCCCAAGGCCAGTCTCCGCGGCAACTTGGTGTGGAGGGGCGCTGATTGGCTGACCCCACTGTCAGGTCACAGGCTCAGGCCGGTTCACCAAGCAACTCACACAGGGCTTGGGCAAGGGTGGGTGTTTAACCTCTTAGGCCCAACTGCAATGCCCCTGGCTAAGAGGTAGCAACCCAGGAGGGGGAGGGGTGAAAAGCATAGGTGGTGGGGAGAGGCAGAGGGCACACATGGGGAGGTGAGGATGTTCATTCAGTTCTGCAGCTTCTGGGAAACTCCCCCAGCCCTTACCCAGGGCCCTGGCACCCATGCCAACCTAGATGCCACCTGGAGCTGGGCTGGTGCCAACCAGGCCAAGGGGGCACTCCTACCCCCATCATCTGGGAGGGCCGGTGGGGCGAGGCGTCCCTTTCCTTCTGCCAGGGTGGGGCACTGGTGCCAGGGTGCCCACCCCACCTTGGGCGCCCTTCCCACCTCTGCATCCCAGAGGGCCCAGCCCCCTGATGCCCCGTGAAGGCGGCCCATCTCCACCCTGCCTGGCATGCCCCCTCTTGCTAAGACCTTGTGGGCATGGGTGTGTGTAGTGGCTGGGGGGGGCAGCTGTGCCAGGGAACCAGGCAAGGTCTGTTCAGTCTGTTTGCCTGGTAGGGGGAGAACTGGGGGCCCCGCCCCATCACTCCCCCCTTTCCCGCCACCCCCCCAGGCTCCCCTCACTGTCAGGCCTGCTAGACCGGCCAAGCCGGTGGGCAGCTCTCTTGAAAATGGGCCCTGAGTCAAGCTTGCCCCATCTTTGTGGGGGGAAAATTTAGGGGTGAGAAAGGTGGGAGGGCAAAGGTGGGAGCCCCTATCATCTGCCCCTCAGTGCCCAAGGGCACCTGCCAGGGTGTGTCCACCACCATGAACCCAAAAGGTGGAGGGCAGTGGCCCTGGCTGGGAAACGAAAGGAGGCTGAAGTCCTTCCAGGTGCTGAGCTCAGGCAGTGTCCAGTGTAGGGCTGGGGGGCACCCAGGGCAACACGGCTGGTTTGAGCTAGCTGAAGGACAGGGATAGGAGGCCCTGAATGGGGCAGCTGAGGAAAGCTGGTCCCCTTCCCCCTACCCCGGGGATTAGGGGAGCGAGGCTTAGTGTGGGGGGCAGCAGGCGGAACCAGGATTAGTGGTGGAGAAAATAGATATGGGCCTGAGACGCAGGCACGCGCAGCCCCCCCAGGCTAAAGTGAGTGCCCCCACCTGCAGGCTCTGCCAGGGAGCCTGAGAGGGACCTGGCCAGGATTCTCCAGGAGCAACGGCATGGAGAGGACCAGGCTGTGATACCTTCCTGCCAGGGAGGATGGAGAGACCTGAGACTCTTCCCAATGCCCCAGGCTCCTTGCCAGCCACCCCTCCCCCTTACTTCTTTCTCCTTTCTACCCCCCAGCCGCCACCCCAACTCCAGCCTCAGGTTCTCTTCCTGTTTTTTTGGAGCTAAGTTTGCACGAAGCCAGGGCTTTGGCCTGTGGCTGGACCTGGGGGGTGGGGGAATAGGAGACCCAGTCCAAAGTCCTCAGGGACCCAGGAATCCTAGTTCCCCAGCTTCCCCTAGCCCTTCCCAGGGCCTCTGGGGCCCAGGGGCCTCAGCCATCTGGACTGCCTAGTTGGGGAGGCAGGGTGACAAGGCTGAGCCATATCCCACTGGAGGATTGGAGGGGCTTCGAACAAGAGGTCCTCCGCCCAGCGATGCCCCAGGCACTTATGGTCCCCTTCTCTCTGCACCCCAGCCCCCCAAGCTTGTGCCTACCTTCCCCATCCCCCATATGACGCTTCCCCCCTCCTAACCTCACCACCCCCAGCACTCACACTTCCTGGGGGGAGGCGGGGAAGAGAGACCGCAAGCCAGAAGGGGGAAGGAGGCAAGGGGAGCTGGCTGCTTCCCGGTGCTGTGGGGGTTAAGTCTCTCCCCCCCTCAAAATCCCCCAGCCCTGGCACCCGGGCTCCTGAAATGAGGGTGAGCTCAGTGCCCCTCCACATTTTCTTTCCATAACCCCAGCCCTAGCCCACAGCACCCCGGGCTCCATCGAGGGGCGTATGAGGGAGACACAAGGCGGGAGAGGAAGGAATGGGGGTATCTCCTTTTCCCCAGCCTTCCTCAGTTTTCTCCTTTCCACCTTTGGGGACCCCGTGCCCCTCAGCCTCAGCCATCCTTCTCATACTCTTGACGCTTTTCTTGACCTTCTCCATCTGTCCCCTCACTACCTTGTCCGGCCCTTGTCTTCCCTGGCCGAGACTCTTCCTTCGCGGTCCCGCCTTCTGCCGGGCTCCTCACCTTGCTACCACCTCTGTGTCCTTAGGCCTCATCCTAGGGACCATCACTACCTCTGCCTGCCCTCTTCCATCTCTTGGCCCTCACAAGCCTCTCCCGCTTCCTCCATTTTCCCTCTGCCCCAAGCATCCCTTCTCTTCTCCCCACGCAGGGGGGGCGGGGTGGGTTAGGAAGGCACGGAGGAATGAAAGCAGGGACCTGGGCCTGCTGAGTCCTGGTCGTGACCAGGG